GGAATCAAGGTGATTAAAACACTTACTTCTTGTTTCAGCTTAATTTATCACAAATTTAATTGGCATTCATTTGGAGAAAAGTAAAAGATTACATGTATCAGTGTTTTATGTTTAGACAAACATATGCATACTGTATTTTTATCTCTTATTCCAATATCAATTGCACTTACACCTGCGATCAGGCAGTCTTCCCTTTTTCTCTGTAAGGAGAATTAATATTCTCTTCCTTCCCCCTCATCTACCCACCCCTCATGTATCTGATTCACATACATGCAAATGTCCTACAGTCAGTCTTCTTTTGATTTCTCATCTAATTTATCTTCATTTATAACATTATAACTTTTGGGTACATGCTTAAGGATACTTTATCAACCTGCAAATTTGCCTTTCAGGTGGCTAGAGAAATTGGTTACCCTGTGATGATCAAAGCCTCTGAAGGTGGAGGTGGAAAAGGAATCCGTAAAGCATCCAATGATGAAGAGTTTACAAATTTCTTCAGACAGGTTTGCTCTTAAGTAGATCATTATAGCCATGAGTCAAAGAACTTAATTATTCAAGCAATGAATTATTAGTGAAGTTATAGTAAATACAACCACTGGGTACTCACTTTGTTTTTCTTTACCTACAGGTCCAAACTGAGGTTCCAGGCTCACCAGTCTTTGTTATGAAATTAGCAAAAAAGTAAGTTTTCCCTGCCACAAAGTGCATGTACAGCTGTACTTATTACAACAGCAGGGTTTTAGACTGCAAAACAGTCAGTTTTTTTCCCAAATTGGGTTTGCAAAGTGCCAGGGTAATATTTGCATGCAAAGTGCATGAGCCTCACGTGCCTGTTTACAGTCTAGCAGGGTTTGCTCTGTTTGTGGAAGCTGAGTGGCACCGCTTTAATACCCAGCTGAACAAAAACCAAGGCCTTCTTACAATGATTCTTTGGTCCTTAACTTGCTTAATAGTATACCCTTCATTGAGATACTCCTATAGATGGTACAGTCAGCTTTCCTCATGATCCTTGCCTGTCCGCGAGAGAAGTTTTTCGTAAACCCTATATTGCAAATCTTCAGTCATTCTTATTGAGCATGATCAGTGGAGAAAATAACTGAAACTTAAATGATAATCTGTATAATTTACTTTTTTTTTTCTAGTGCAAGGCATTTAGAGGTACAGCTCTTGGCTGACGAGTATGGTAATGCTATGTCCATTTTTGGAAGAGATTGTTCAGTGCAGCGGAGACATCAAAAGATCATTGAAGAAGCACCAGCTGCAATTGCTAAACCTGATGTCTTCAGAAAGATGGAAGAGGTACACGTATTGAAATTTGTCTTGCCTCTTCAGGGAGTATACTTATACCGTGTAACTTTATAAAGCAAAGATATATTTCAAAATCCAGATATGATGGTGATGTTGTTGGAGTGATAAATTGTCTTCTTGCTTATCATCTACACATTCTTACATGTACTTTATATTTTGTCTAGGATGCAGTGAAGCTTGGTCGTCTTGTTGGATATGTCAGTGCAGGAACAGTGGAATATTTGTATCATCCCGAGGATCACACTTTTCACTTTCTTGAGCTCAATCCAAGACTACAGGTACTCCTCATCTAAAGCAACCCCAATGCTATTCGTTTTCATTTACGAATTTTACTTATTCCATTCAATTGCTTTAATATTAATATATTAATCAGACTGACTTGCATGTACAATGTACACATTTGCAGCACTAGGAAAATGATTATGACAGTTGTTGCATTGTATTTGCTGATAGGTTCTTCTGAAACTTAAAAAATTAATGATGTTTTTCTTCTCATTGTATGTGCTTGGACAGTGATTTAGTTGTACAGAAAATAAACAAGCAAATAAACAGACAAACGGATGAAAAAGCAATGCTGCCTTTATTTGTTTTATTTAAATACAGTGGAATTTGGATTGTACATGAGATTGCCAACAATGTTTTTTTGCTCTAATGTATGTACTGTAGTCCTGTGTTTTTTAACCACTGAATTCATTTACTAAATGACCATACAAAGAATACATGTTAATTATTTGTGATTTTTCTTGTAATTTCTTTTCAGGTAGAACATCCATGCACTGAGATGGTTTCTGATATCAACCTACCAGCAGCCCAACTTCAGGTTTGTAACAGACATTGTGTGTCCCTTTTTGTGTTACTATTTTCAAAAGCAACTAAAACAATATCTGTATGCGTTTGTTAATTAATTATTCTCTTGCAGGTTGCTATGGGCATTCCACTGTACTGTATAAAGGATGTTAGAACAATGTATGATGTGGATCCATCTGGGACTGAGCCTATAGATTTTGACAAGTAGGAAAAGCACTAAAACAATAACTTAAATGAGACTAGTTAAATTTACGTTGAAACTGTCATTCCTGATATTATATTATAAAGTGTCAGTGTCTTAATGTGTGAGGCTTCTCCCTTAAAGTGGTACTTGGAGATTTACACATTTAAGCATACAATGTATNGAACATCCATGCACTGAGATGGTTTCTGATATCAACCTACCAGCAGCCCAACTTCAGGTTTGTAACAGACATTGTGTGTCCCTTTTTGTGTTACTATTTTCAAAAGCAACTAAAACAATATCTGTATGCGTTTGTTAATTAATTATTCTCTTGCAGGTTGCTATGGGCATTCCACTGTACTGTATAAAGGATGTTAGAACAATGTATGATGTGGATCCATTTGGGACTGAGCCTATAGATTTTGACAAGTAGGAAAAGCACTAAAACAATAACTTAAATGAGACTAGTTAAATTTACGTTGAAACTGTCATTCCTGATATTATATTATAAAGTGTCAGTGTCTTAATGTGTGAGGCTTCTCCCTTAAAGTGGTACTTGGAGATTTACACATTTAAGCATACAATGTATGTGAATGGAGTTATGTTGAATATTGTGGTTGAAAAATTGCTTAAATGCAGAGAGATGCTGATAGTTTTTAATTAGACATCACCAAGTCTATTTTATTGTGATTTTGTAAATGGGTAGGAAAAGCTGAAAGGTGCATTGAGAAAACCAAATGGCAAAGAGGCATTGAAATGCTAAATGAATACAGCTGTTCACTGTTCTATGTTAGTGTGAAAGGGTCTGAGAAACCTTGAGAGGTGCATTGGGAAAACAATAATCCAAAGAGGTGATGAATGTATGAAAATAATACTCCTGAAGGAGCTGGTAAAAGTTTAATATTGTGGTGGAAAAATTGCCAAAACGCAGAGAGTTGTTGATAGTTTTTATTAAGAACAGTCAAGTGTATTATATTTTGGTTATTGAAAGGGGTGGGAAAAATGGAATGGTGCATTGAGAAAACCAAATGACAAAGAGACGTTGCTAGTACTTAAATAAATATAGCTGTACAATGTTCTTCGTTTGTGTGAAAGGGTCTGAGAAGCGTTGAGAGTTGCAATGGGTAAACAAAGAAGCTAAAAAGCGTTGAAAGTACAGGAATAATATTCCCTTTTACTTTAATTATTGCAGAAGAGGACTGGAAAAGGTTAATGTTACGTAGAAATATTGCAAAATACAGCGAGTTGTTGATAGTTTTTAATGAGATACAATCAGTCTATTTTATTTTGATAATGGAAAGGAAAGGAAAAGCAGTCGGGAAGGCGCATTAGCCAAGACGAGTAGAGGCATGTATACTCCTGAGCTAAATTCTCCCGACCCCTTTCTGCTGTTATATAAGGAACTAAATTAAGGGTAGAAGAATTCGAAAAGCCAAACGTCAACAAGAGGTTTTTCTTAAAATGACTGATAAAAGATGGCCATAAGAGGGACGCAGGGTAGATATGAAAACGGAAAAGAGGGGGATTAATTTATAATATTGTTTACTTTCGTAAGGAACATGTACAACCGTTTTGATGTTTTTTTCAAATAATTTTCAGTCCTGAGATCCGTCCTAAACCAAGAGGACATGTCATTGCAACACGAATTACCTCGGAGAATCCAGATGAGGTAAGGACATAAAAAATCCACCAATACCTAGTTCAAAATCTTAAGAGCTTTACACCTTGGAAAAATTGTTTTTGACCAACATATCGCTATTACAGAAGGGAACTGAAAAATAGAAGGAGGATTCAGAAAGCCAAACGGCAACAGCAGCAAGGATAAGCACAGGCAGTTGGTGGGCGGCCTTCTGTGCTAAGGTGGTGTTGAGTTCGATTCCCAGGTGTGACCTCAAATCCTTGTTTCGAATTTCTTCTCTCTCCTTGTAGCTTTTTGTAGCTTTAGATAACCGTAAAACGAAGTACTGATGGAGAGAGAGAGAGGAGGGGGGGCGGGGGTATAATGAGTGTACTGTTGGCCTCAGGTTTTAGTCCATGGGCCAAGACCTAAAAATTTGAAATTTCTTACCACTTAAAGGGAGCAGTGCTATCACACATTTTCTTAATCCTCAATTCGTAGTTTGATATATGATAGCAATGATATATGGCCAGCTTAGATATCAAAATCACGTGATTAACTGACGTAATCACTGACACAAAATACGTATGAGCTAACTATGTAAAAGTGGTTGGTGAGAACAGAGTGGTTTCATGCATATTTTGTGCTCTACTGTTGATTTAAATGCAAAATTACATTATGATAACATTTGACGAAGAAAATTAACCAGAATTAATATACCTTGGTTGCCATAGCAACAATCACGTGGGCTAAAAGTGTTTTCATACGTAGGAATGTTGAACTCTCTCAGGAAACCTCGTCAGATACTTGCTTTAATGTGTCAACGTACACTTTACATTGAATATTTGCGTTATATAATCAACGTTTTAGTCACATTTCCATCGAAATAAATATTACAAGAGCAGCAGACTGGTGCTTGAGCTTCCGTTTATTTAGTGACACGCGGTAACATTGCTAAAAACCTCAACGCCTAATGACCATGTTTACTTTCCTGTCTGGTATTTTGCAAATAACTTTGTCCACTACCCTACAACACTAAGAGATTATTTCAAGGCACCACGAGAATCTTTAGAGTACTACAGCTCAATCATCTTCACATTCAATATCAGAGTCATCTGTAGTTAAATCCTCTGTAGCTTCCTCAAGCTGGTTTGTACACTCCTGTAACCGACACATGTCAGTACAATGCAATCCGTTAGCGAGACAGGTACAGCTTGGCGACTGGCAGACTCTCTTACACTGGCAGGAGAGGAGCTCAAGCACAGCCTTGGGTGCCGGTTCCCCACTCATCCAGTCAATAGTAAAACTTGCCATCCTTTAAACACCATCCAGAGCCAATGGGCAAGGGGATTTGGGGTGAACTTTGAAGACTCCTGCGCCATATTGCTGACTGATAGTTTGCTCTCTCACAATGCTTTCGTAACGCGTCCTAGCATGGAGGACGCTGGTGCGACTGTAACTCTCCTTTCCTGGCGCAGAAGAGACGGTAACGCAACACGTTAACATCCTTAGTTCCAGGATTTGAAGAGTACATCAGGCACATGAACTCTTGGAGACGCACAAATAGCTCATTCGATAATTCCCATTCCACGCCAAGCTGTTGGAATAACCTTTGGTATACAGGACGTCGCTTTAGCAACTTTAACGCCGTCAGTTTTCCTTTTCCAGAAAATGCGCTGACACTATCACATCCAGTGAAAGCATGCAGACCAGGAAGACATTTGCAAATCCTAGAACCATGACGTTCGAAGACATTTGTGATGCTGATAAACCTTGTTAGAGTCTGTGTACTGCATTTCAAATACATGGTAGCTGGAACAAAGTCCTTAAATGCCAGGCAAAGTACAAATACATCGGTATCTTCTGATGATAATTATAACAACAGCCTTGAAAGCATTCATTGCTGCATGAGATGCGTCAAGACGAAGTCTAGTATCTGCTTCCTCTTGAGTTGACGTCAGATCTTCTCTTGGTCTGAAATTATCTTCTGAAATCTCAACACATCTTTCCTCGGTCGTGGTGAAAAGGTGTTTCCCTGTTAGTCTTTGCTTGAACCTTGGCAGCATAGGAAAGTAATATGTGTTTTAGAGGCTTCTTTCGGCCGCTAGTCACTCCGAATACTATGGCCTGCCCAAACGAGTTGACAAGGCGCTGGACTTTCGATGAGCACAGTTCTTCTGGGTACTTTGAATTTCCTGGTAACAAGGTTGCTAGAAATACTCTGACTTCACCAGGGAGATTCACTTCCTCTTCAGTGAGCTGGGAAGGCTTAGAAGGCCACGACATCTCGTTTTCTTTGAAACATATGGCTTTCTGAACTTCTAGAGCAACTCGTTAATGATGCTTAACGGTTTCGCACTGCAGTTGCTGTAATCGTGCTACTTCTTTAGCCAACTGAAGGCGTGACAAGTTGGCAGGGATAATTAACACTCTGTTGTTACCATGCAGGTCTGATTCTATACTGATAATCCTCTTAAGTTTATTTTCTAAAAAATTTAGATAACAAGGCTATATTTGTCAAGACTTTCGCGAAAGTAGGGCAATAAAAGAAAAAATCAACATTTGACTGTCTGGAACTTAAACAAATCTCAAGCATTTCTTCTAAAATCCTCACAGCACTAGTCACCTCTTTCATACACCAGTTTATCCAATAATTTGTGATTTATAATGTTTTTGCAACGATAGCAATCAGAAAATGAAAACTTAAGTTCGACTTATAACTAGAGTTTTGAAAAATCTAGTTCACCACACCTCGAAGGTTGGTAAGTCTTTGCATACTTTTTACCGAACATTACTGCAAAAATTGTTTAATTCAAATACAATTATTATATTGTAAATTGTTTATTGCGCATCGAAATAAAGGATATTCCTTATAAAGAGCCAGAAAACCTGACCAACAACTTACCTGAGAGATTGTCCGCCATCTTGGATTACCCATAATGCATTACAAGGGCAGCTGAAAGTAAAATCGCTAATATATAGATTTAGCCACTGCTAAAAGCGAAGCTCCCATTGATAAATTTTAAACTTAATCAAACAATAATTTTGTATTCCACAAATCAGTTAACTTAAGGGCACATTCATGTGACTTTTGAGGGAAAAGCTAAGTGATTTTGGAGTGAAACAAACCTTGTATCGAGTTGATAGAGCCTTATATGTACAGCCAAAAAATAGTCTTCGGCCACATTTATGAGCAATAATGTCTCTTGATCACAGTAGATAAGGCGAAAACAAATCAGGCCGAATTTTTTGCGTTCGACAAGTTTACAAATTCTTGCCAATAAATCTGGGTGCGCGCAAACCATTCTTTTATTTATTTATTTATTTATTTTTATACACCACATCTGAGGAGAAAAAGTACTATGAGGCGCTTTTTTTATCATACAGACCTCGTACAAAATGCAGTATTTCAGAATTTTTCAAGACAAATTGCATTTATTCAATACTCAGGACCATCGAAGCACGCGTGGACTCTTAATCAGCGAAACCGTTCAAAAAATGTCCAAAATCACCTATACGGCCAGCCGGTTCTAACTTTTGACAAGCGCCAAATTTGCGAAGAAATTTTAAGAGTTACGCCTCGACATGATAAAGAATTTATTGAGTCTATTTTTTCTTAATGGTTTTATAACGATGTGTAACCTTAAGAAGCGTTTGATACGCTCGGCATTTTGAGTACTCCTGCAAGCAATGTTTATGAACGCCTGAAAACAAACGGCAAAGCGATGAAAATTACACTTTTGAGACTACCAACAATCAATGAAGAAATATAATTCGGTAGAAGATTTACAGAGATAACAATTTTTCATTCACGAAAACAAATGAGTATTTAAGTGTCTTTAAGAATCCTCAAGTCTTAACTAGTAGGCTTAAAGATTAAGTTTATGTTTTAAGCCGCTGGTTTCCCGTGTTTGCTTTTTTTAAAGATGAACTCACGACAAGAAAATCGCTCAAAGCTTTCTTTCTACAGCCAAAATTGTAACTAAATATTCTTCGGAAAGTTTTTTCTTTCTATTTATGGTGAATTAATATCGAATAAAGGCTTTTTAAAGTTTTGTAAGCTTAAGCTTATATCAAACCTCATACTAGGTCAGATCAGTGTCTCAGTCAAATCTTAATACAAACGTGCATAAACTAGCTTCATAAACTGCGCCGCTGGACTTCATGAAATTAGATATAAATACGATAATTACTCAGGCTTACCATATTTCGAGATGCAGCCCCTGAAAGCTATCAAGTAAGGCAAGGATCGCTTGAACCTTTATAATTCTTGTACGCATCCAGTAAGGTAAGAAACAAAACGATGCCATCCGAAATCGGATTATCGGCTTTGACAAGCGACGCATTTCTCAACCAAAAACCCAATAAACAAACCAGCCATGAATAAGAGAACACTCTTGATAGCAGCTGTATTTCATTTTTTACATCCAGTGGAAAAAGACAGTTAAAAGCATAACAAGTTGACTCAAAACTCTGTCAGCTTCAGCTGTCAAAGCAAGAAACTAAGGTAAACAACTTTGAAGATGCTGCATAAATTTTACGCATGAACTCACCTGTCAAATTTTAACCAATCAGAGCTTAAAAATTGGACGTGGAGCGTGACCAACACGTGACCATGGTTAGAAAAGGTCTTACCCGCCTGTATTTAAAAAAAATGGCTGAATTTTTGCGTATGAGGTCAGTTTGAAATCAAAATCGTAATAGTGCGGGGCGATACTGACATAAACACAACATATTTGATATGAATTTAAAACATAAGTAAACGTGAGCCTGCGATCATTTGAAAACGAGTAAATTGTCAGCGGATAACTTCAAAAAAAAACTCGACCTTGATGGGTCGACACCTTAGCCCGCGATACGGTCAGGTGATACTGGTCAGCGGATACCCCGTTTTGACAGCTGTCAATTGATGACAACATTGATGTGCAATCAGCTTTCTCCTAGGCTCCCAAAGTAGCTAGAAAGTGTGAGAGTAAACATTAGTATGCCTGTGGTGCGGACGGACGGGCAGCGGGCGGGCGGACGGTGTACGGTCACGTGATTACCAAATTTTCTGGGGTGGGTAGATTTACTTACCCGTGGTGCTCCGCAGGCGCGCTTCGCGCGCCAGAGCTCCGCTAAAAAAAAATTTTTTTACGTTGTTTTTATTCTTTATTGGTAGCTTCTAATAAAAGAAAACATATTTCATCACTCTCTTTGTTTTAGACGGTTTAATGCTTATCGTTTCTTCTCTGGCACTTTATTTTGTCTGTAAGGTCTGTTTTTCATAGATAGCTATTTTCCACCCTTTTTAATTTCAAAAAAATATAATAAAGCTGCCCGTTAAAAATTGCTATCATCAAAAATTTTAAACAACTTAAGTTAGTCTTTAAATTTATACATGTCACTATTTCTCCCTTGAAGTGGTAAGAAAATCTGGTCGGGCCCATGGACTATTTGTCAGTCTAATGTGTGCTGTTATGAGTTACTGACATAAAGTAACGAGCTTTACATTAACGTCTTCAAGGTGTTCATTTGCTTTTCTTTTAACTTTCCAGGGCTTTAAACCTAGCAGTGGCACAGTCAAAGAATTGAATTTCCGCAGTATGAAAAATGTCTGGGGTTATTTCAGTGTGGGGGCAGAAGGTGGCCTTCATGAATATGCTGACTCTCAGTTTGGCCACTGCTTTGCTTGGGGAGAGGATAGAGATGCAGCAAGAAGGTGAGTGCATTTGCAAAAATGTTACTCAACCTCTTGTAGGAGCGAGATGCCTTTTTTATACTTTCCTGAGATGAGCACCTCATTGGACACATGTAGTTGTAAACGTTCCCGACAAGAGGTTTTTACGTTAACGTGAATGAAAGGACTGAACAAACCAGCTTGTAAACTCGTTTTTGGTCAAAAAACGTTTCCTAAAATCCCTGGTTTGTGCACTATATAGGCCAAGAACAAATTGAAGCCTAATACTCAGCCGTGTTCGATGACAGGAGAAACATAAATTTCGTATAAGTCCACTGCATGCACTATTGTGATTATTGAGTATTGCTTGGTCTTTATTTCTCATTCAGAAACATGGTGCTAGCCTTAAAGGAAATCTCTATTCGTGGGGATTTTCGCACCACAGTGGAATACCTGATAAAGTTGTTGGAACATGAATTTTTTTCGAACAACAAGATCGACACAGGCTGGTTGGACTTTCTTATTTCCAAGCAAGATCAGGTAATTGACCTTAAACTTTCTGGTTGTATATTTAACCCATTATTGCCTCCTTGTGAACATCAAAATGTAATAAAGAAATGGCACCAAGACGTGTGAAGAGAATGTACTTGAAATCTCACCACATATCAAGTCTTGTTCCACTACCTCAAAACTCAGAAGTACCTTTATTCACCAAGGCTACTATTTTATTCTATAAATTCCCGCTTGGGTGGTGCTAGCTTCATGTAAACCTGACTTTTGCAATATCTTGTTCTTGCACGATTTGCACGTACAAACGTTAGCTTCTCGTAAATCTGCATACACTGCACTTAAAGTCGCGTTTACATTAGGCACCACCCAGGTGGCAGTTGAATGAAAGTTAAGGTATTTTCCGCTCTGGCAATTCAACGTTAAAATGGAAACCGTTTTACGTTTAAGACTTTTTTTACATGTTTTCTGTTGTCATTTTATACAGGCAGAGCGTCCTGATGCAATGCTTGGGGTAATATGTGGAGCCGTTCATGTCGCAGAGGCAGCCATCAGTAAGAAATATGTCAATTTCAAGTCTGCGCTGGAGAGGTATGATCTTAGTGTAAGCAGCTTGTTTACCAGTCGTTTTTGTTTCCACTTACATGTAGCCTTGCGGGAGAAGCGGGCGAAACGCGCGAGGGTATGGAGGTAAA